TTTAATTTATAAAAAATTGACAAAACTTCAAAAGTTTTGTTTGAAAAACCCAAAAATGTCAATTCACGTAGTAAAGATTCGAACCATCTCCAATCAACCCATAGCTAATCAACAAACACAGCTATACCAGTGCAATGGCAGTGATTATTTGTCACATTTTGATACAAAAATCCATAAAATCTTTTAGTTGTATAAAATCTCAATTTTATCCATTTTACGATTTTATGATTTTACTGTTCTGAGTTTATAGAATCCTGATTTTGAGTTTACACGAATTACATAGGTAAAATCACAACATTGTGCAATTTTACAAGTAAAATCACGATTTTGACAACTATAGTTATATCTATTACTATTATATATCTTTTTTACCCCAAATTAATCTCCTCCCTTGAATACCCATGTTAAAAGGTTTTAAGTTAAAATATAAAACTTATAATAAATTTGCATATTTTTTTTGGTATCTTTCCATTTACCTGTACTCTATTTTTCACTAACTTTTCTTCCGACTCTATCTTTCAACTTAATCTTACATATGTTGTCAATATGTTTATTTATTTACTTATCCTCACTTTTTCTTCTATATTAATAATTTATTTGTTATTATTCTTTAAAATTTTTTAATCAGTACCTTGGATGGTGTAATTATTCTACTTTTTAGTCTTTAAATTACATAAAAAAAATAAAGATTGATTTTAATTTTACTAACTAACCAACTGAAATAATACATGTGTTATTAGTGCTAACATTAATATCAGTTTTTTTAGATTTTTTTTTAAGATTTAATGGCTAAAATATGCAATAATTATACTTTTAACCTGTGTTTTAAGGATACATATTAAAAAAAAAAACTCTTATCATTTTTTCCCTTAAAAGTTGATATAGTTATTAACAAGTTAATACACATCGGTTCTACATATTATAAGTTGTAATTATTCATAATTCTTGATATTTTAATAATCTTTATTAATTAATATGTTTATCCAAAACTATTTATAATTTAATCATTATTTTTTTTACTCTCAGAATAATTGAGTAAATAAGAATTAATTTGTGAA